CGTCTATCTCGAACGAAAACATCGTCCCCCAATTTCAGTTCGAGTCGCGGAAAAAAAAGAAAAGACTAACCGTATTATTAAACGTCCGTTGCCCTCCTCCTTTCTTCTACTGCCGCAATCCTGCTTGGTTCTCGGTAGAGTTGATCTTCATGCTAGCTTTTTTCTCCAGCTAATGCTCTTGTCATGAGACTACTAGCATCTTCGGTGATTTACGCTTGAGTGGACTCCTGAACCTGGTGAGGTTCCTCGACTCATATCTGAAATTTTCGAAGCTGTCGCGCTTCCGTTCATATCCATTCGTCTCGATGCAGATTTCCTCCGTACTGTAAAGATTGTTGTCGAGTTTGTCTTCGTCCTCGGTCTCCTTCCACGCATTGTCCTCGTCATCTTCCGCTTTTTTGAACATAGACATTTTTCCCCAGCTCGGACACTTCTAATCTTCGAACCGACTCTCCTCCTGTCAAATAGAAGAGTCTGGACTCGCTGCTGTTGGGACGATGCGTTTTTCTACCGTTGAAGCGCCAGTCGTATCTATTGTCATGGTAGTAAACGGAAGTTACACCAAATAAAAATATTCATTTAGACACCAGCACTGAACTTCCGGATTTTCACAAAGTTTCTGTTTAAGCATTTCGAACGAGATTTGTGGCTCGTCAGTCCAATGAAATGGGGCGTTTTCTTTCCATATTTTTGCATTTATCATCTATTTTTTTCTGCTTTGTGATTTATTACGACTATTATCGCACTGTTAATCTTAATGATAATGATAATGATAATCAATTAACAAATTAGCAAATAATAATTATTATTATTATAAGATTCACACTGAATCATCATACATTCACATCCTTCACCCAGTTCAATCTTAGACATACCATTATCGGATTAAAAACGTGTTGATAATTGAACTGTGATTTATTACTACTTTCATAATATTAATAAACAATTATAATGATAATCAATTAATTAATTAATCAGTTATAATAATTGTTATTATAAGAATCGTACTGAATCATCGTACGCCCCCATCTCCCGCCGATTGAATCTTAGGCATGTCATTATCGAATGATGAAAATGTTGACAGCTGAATTGTGATTTATTACTACTTTCGTAATATTAATAATCAATTATATTGATAATCAACTAATTATTTAATCAGTTCTAATAATTATCATTTTATGATTCGTACTGAATCATCGTACATTTAGCCCCCTCACTCGGTTCAATCAGAGGCATCCCATTATCGAATCATGAAAATATTGGCAAATTGACAGTGCCTTTACTTTTTAAATGGACTTTGTATCCCATCTGACAGTCATTCACTTTAAGTCGCCCCTGTATCCCCTTAATACAATTTTACTGTTCATTATCTCTTCTATTTTAGTCATAAGAATGGTGTCTAGTCTTGACTATAAACAAGCCATTGGTCATTGCATAAATAACGGGTAACAGCAATCTGTCGCGTGTCATTTCTTTAAGTCGCCCCTGTACCCCCTTAATACAATTTTACTGTTCATTATCTCTTCTATTTTAGTCATAAGAATGGTGTCTAGTCTTGACTATAAACAAGCCATTGGTCATTGCATAAATAACGGGTAACAGCAATCTGTCGCGTGTCATTTCGTCTTTGTGTTTCACGGAGCACCTTGCATTATTAGCGACTGCAATTCCGAGCTTAGGAAGTCCGTTGTTGGAAAACTGTACACTTGGTTACCGCGCCGGTATTCGACGATACATTCCGATCGGTACACAAAGGCACCACATTAGATCCAGCAATTATTAGTCTTCAGGTTTCGAGAATTAACGTAACATTGCACCATGTAGTACAGTTCAGGTGTTCTGAATATATTATACCACACACTTCATTTTCGGCCACGTTCCAGTTCAGTCGATCTCCTTAACCCAGGATTATCCACGTGAGGGTCTAGTCGCCGAGATTTACCTGCGCTAGACCCCCAGGTGGGTAATTCCGGGTTAAGAATGTCCTCGACAATCATCTGGATCCTTTCGCTCACGTCTTGCGAGTTTCTGCCAGTTCCGCGTCCATTGCACGCTCTCTATCTTTGTTGCCACTCGTTTGCAACCAGCAGGCTGTCACCCAGAATTCAATTCTCTGACTCCATCTCGACTCAGAATCGACGATCGCCATCGATTATATGTCCCTTCGTTGTTTTCGCGGTACTTATTTTGCTAGAGTGTGTTCGATACCGGCACAATGTTTTGTGCAAGTCCAGCTGCATAAAGATTATACCGGATCACATTGTAGACTGAATGTCACACCCAACTGAGGTCAGCCTCTCCGGCTGACAGCCACGTCGCGGAATGCAGTGCGCATGCGCGCGGTTACACCCTTCTCATCGCGAAAATTTCGCGAGAGCTTTAGGAACATCTTATTGTTACATTTGAATACATATTTTTAGCAATATATTGTTAATAATATTGTATAGTGTAAACATTTATATATATATGTATATATTAACATATATGTATATGTTAAATGTATAATTTATTATGTATATATTAAATGTATATCTAATAAGATTCGTGACACATTCAATGCTCATTTATTTTTACTAAAATATGTTGTAATTTTTAAATAGTTTAATTGCGCTGATGTTCTGTTTTAAGAAACATTTGTGCTGGCTTTGATAAAAATTTAATTATACTTCGGAATGGATAAGACAAGACTTCACCATCCTGTTAATTCTATTATTTCATTCGTTGTCAGTGCTATTATTTTTATTATTTTATTCATTATTTTTGCGTTATGAAATAATAGAAAAACTAGAAAGAAGATGAATGAAAGGCATGCTGCGTATAAATATGATATAATATCACTTTTTCTATTTCTTTTGTTAAAATTTATTCAAGTTTTCCCGATATTATTTTAAACAAATTGCTCATAATTCATGAAAATTTGGCTTTATCAATGGTTGCAGCGGAAGGTGAGTTATTTTTTAACTATTAAAAATTGCATTGTCTTCAAATATCTAATAAACAATCAAAATGAAAAAGAACAAATTTTTAAAATAAGAAAATTCTTATTATTTATTTATTTGTTATGTGTATTGTTCTATAAAATATAAATAAATATATATTTCAAGAAATAAGAAGTTTCGTTAAAAATAATAAGAAAAATAATTAAAATAATTAAAAATAATTGTTTATTAAAAATCCTGTTCCTGATTTTAAATTTGAAATATTACGTTTTTATGTTTTTGTTTTCTGACGAATAGAACAGCACCAGAGATGACAAAACCTTCTTAGAATGCACTTCAGCAAATATGCTTTGAATAGGAAATTTAAAACCTGCCTTCCTTTAAATATTTTGTTAGGAATTCGACATGCTATGAATCGTCTTAAGGTTCGATCAAAGTACACATTAAAAAAAGATATATAAGCGCGATAAAAAAGTGGCCACACAAAATATTTTTACGTCAAGAAATTATCTTGCTCTAATAAAGTTCTGGGAAATTGTATAGCGCAATTTTATTTCGTATGGATCTCAACTTCAAGATTTTAATTTATTATGTGTCATTACAAATATTATACCCGTCACACTAAATTCAGATTCACATTTTGTTAACTAATTTACAATGCCACCAATTTATAACGCAATTTTAAATATTTTTCAACAATAAATGATATCATGCATGAATCATTGAATTCATCTTAACAAATGCCATTGAAGAAAAATTCAAAGTTCTATTTCATTTGACCTCAAAATCATTCAACATGCAAAAATATAATTTGCAGTGCTTCTTTGTCCCATATTTGTAAAAACATTTCTTTAGTCGATTTTGCGAGATTTAGTCAATTTTTCTTTATAAAATTACAAAACATAGTCTTGTTATTATTATTATATTGTTAGATAAAGAAGTATTTTATAGAAAAATTTCAAATAATATTTTAATTTTTAGTTAATGAATAACAGGATTTGTTATTTTTCATACTTACTGCATAATTACAATTATTAAAAATTTAACATAAATTTGCAACATAAGTAAATGAAAGAATATAATAATTCCAATATTTTAGTATTATAATAATGTTAAGAAATAATTGAAAATTTAATTAACTATTTTTAAGTATATTTTATAAAGTATAAATCATTTATACTCAAAAGCATGTATTAATAATTTTTAAATTTTTATTTGCTATATTTAAAAAAAAGCCATGATAAATCCATAAAACATGAATAAAACTCTTTCTAATATATAATATATATAATATATATAATGATTTCGGTTAATTACTAGCTTCACATTTCGATGTTGAAAATTGAAAACATTGTTACGAATTTTAAAAATTATGTTTCTGACACGTTCATTACTTGATCAAATTCGATCGTTTTACTTGATGTAGTTCTCCAACTCACCGTAGTTTAAGCGTAGAGTGCGCTAAAAAGCCAGTCATTTTTTTTACTATGTCGATATTATAGAACATCGGGCACAAAATCCCATAAGATGTCATGTCTATTCATGTATTTCGTCTGCATTGCTATAAACTGTCTTCTGATAAACGCTGATACGAATTTGAAATGCCTAAAGTGCGTAGAAGTAAAAAACCCCCACCGGATGGTTGGGAATTAATCGAACCAACATTAGAGGAATTGGAACAGAAAATGCGAGAAGGTAATGATAAAAAGAAAATAGAGGTTATGGAGTAGGAGGTTATGTTGATAGCGAAATGTTTTCATCTTTCATCTGAAATAATTTTAATTGTTAATTGTGTTTGGATCGTAGCCGAAACGGAACCTCATGAAGGCAAACGAAAACAAGAATCTTTATGGCCCATATTTAAAATTCACCATCAAAAATCACGATACATATATGATTTGTATTATAGACGGAAAGCGATAAGTCGAGGTGAAATATCATTGATTATTTAATTTCCTTATTTATCCTTCTCTTATTTATATTTTCTGTTTTCAGAATTGTATGATTATTGCCTGAACGAAAATATAGCGGATAGGAACTTGATTGCCAAATGGAAGAAAGTCGGATATGAAAACTTGTGTTGCTTACGTTGTATACAACATAGGGATACTAACTTTGGTACAAATTGTATTTGCCGAGTACCTAAAGGCAAACTCGAAGAAGGCAGAATAGTGGAATGCATCCATTGCGGATGTAGAGGATGTTCTGGATAGCATTTAGCGATAATCATAAGATATGTATTTTTAATGATATTGCACTGTATATTATTAGAAACTATATTGCATAATGTCGATGAAAATATTATGAAAATATCTAGAACTTAATTTGGATTGGTAATTTGTGAGTTGATGATACCAACTAAAGGCTAATGCAAGATATTCTATGTGTGTATAATTGAGAAATTTTTAGTCAAATAAATAAATCTTTGTTCAATTTGAAAGTAAAATAGAACTGAATTAAAAACTAATGAAAGATGTATACCTTATTGATAACATGTACATATGTATAAGTTTTTCACAATACTAAATATAATGTTTTTATTTTATTTGTACTATCAATAATTTTGATATCAAAATAATTTTGATATCAAATTAGCAATATTTTTAATCGTGATGTTTTTTGTAGAGTTCCGTGAAAATTGTCTGACATTCTTTATGAGTAAATGTTTGTGTATATTGGTTGTTTAATACAATAAATCTTTTACCCTTTCGCCAAACTGTAACTGGGGGTGAATTGCATACAGTTCCTTTAGCAAAACGACGAATTACATTTGTTCTTGCAGATAAAAATGACATAGAGAATCGACATTCAGAAATGGTGAAATCTGTTTGAGAAGTTTGTGTAGCGATTCCAATAATTTGCCAAGAGTACTTAACACTACAGTTGTAGACTGATTCGCCATCATGAAGATTGTTTTCTTCAACTAAATTGTTCAGAAGTGTTTTTGATGTTTGGGAACCTGTTCCAATGACTTGCCATGAATACTTTATTCCGCAAACATGGTTATTTTTCTGCAAATTTGCACAATCCTGGTATTGAGGCTGATTCTTTGTAAGAAATGATAGAATTGAACAATTGATATTTTCCAGAGATTGATTATGAAAATTAGTAGCCAAGATTTTATTATGCGTAGTTTCTATTGTGTCTTTCCTGTTCGTCTCTGAAAAATTATCTGATGTTGAAAAATCAAACATGGTACATTGAATTTGATTAAAAGGTTTCGATTCAATACGTTTGATTGGGTATTTTAATTCTTCGTCACAATTAATAACATCATTAGAAATTATTCCTCTTATATCAATATCATTTAAAACAGATCCACGATAAGGATAAAAAATAGATTGTTTTTCATCTTTTTCTTTCTTCCTACTCGCTGTTATGGCTGCTGAATGCAATGTAATTGAAATATTTGAAGTATTATTTAACATAATTGAATTGTTCAAGATATTCTTTTCTGATATTTGTATTTTTTCATTACTACTTAATTTTGTGTCATTATAGTATGTTTTTGGGAGATTTGACGAAATACGATTAATGCTGTCAATTGTTTCTTTTTCATTAATTTTATGTTTCTTCTTCCAATTATTTGATCTAGTTATATTTTCATCCATCGAAGGAGATTGACATTTGAATGAAGGCAAAGGCAGGTCAGAAATCGATGAAGGAAATATTAATTTTTGCTGCTTTTTATTCTCTGATCGCCGAGGAATATTTTCTTTCTGACTAAAACTGTAATTTTCATTAATCGAATGCGATTTTCCTGACAACTTTACTTCTTTGTGTTTATTTATTACATTGATCTGAAAGCACATTTATGTAAATCTTTAAAAATTATCTTGAGTGAAATTTCACTTTATTTTCCATAATATCATTGCAATGTTAATTATTGTAAACAAAACTTTCCTATTTTTTAACATTTGATTGTATTTAATTTTATTGATATCTAAAAAAAAAAAATAATAATAAATGTTAACTTTGGGGAACAACTTCAATAATCTTGATTCACGTATATTATTGAAGACACTCTCCTGAGTAATTTTCAAGAGGTTTTAGCTATTGCTTGTTATTGTTTACGAAGTTAATTAATTATTAAATATAGAACACGAAAGGAGACCTTTCTGCTATAAAGCAAATATATATTGTAATATTTGATTATTATTGAATGAAAATTTTGTTTAAAACTTTAAAACGTATAATTAAATATAATCTAATCTGATCTATGCAGAATCTATTCTAAACTTAATTCAAAGATAAATTAAATTAAGTTAAATTATTTCGGGGTAAGAGTACCGTCTATGTATTTCATAAATATTTATAATAATTAACATTCAGAAATTACTGTTTACAATAAATTTATTTGCTTTATTTTAATAAAAATAATAATTTCCTTAATTTCAAAAAACTAATCAATACGTTTTCAAAATATAGAACTCTGTTCATTTGGAAAATCCTATTTTTAATAATTAATAATTTTTTAAAGAATTATTAGCGAGAAATTTTTCAAAAGAATGTCCTTAACAATGTATGCGAAGATCAAGATCATCGAAATTGTTTTTCTTAAAGTCAATATTTATTAAAAAAAAAAAGAAAAATACATTGGAGTAAAATTTTATACATGACAGCATAAATATAATTATTTTATGAACTTTTACAACATAGGCAATTTTCTTTTTCATTACTATACGTTTATATATACAAAAGGAACGGAGAGAACGAAATAGAAAAGAAATGAGATCAGAAACGATGGAAAAAACAGTAGTTCAATTTTTAAATAAATAACCTGCTTCGGATAGGGAATTGAGTTTGCATATCTTTTCTCTTGAAGACACGGTTTTTTTAATAACGACATTTTTGTGCTATTGTTACATTGGTAGAACTTAACAAGTTTGACCTTCGGTACGGAAAAACACTGTATTGCATCACCACATTTCTTTGTAAATACGGTCTTTGTTATCGGCACAAAAACATTCTCTGTAACTACTTCGACTTTCGGTATAAAAGATTTTTTCGATTTTATCGAACTTCGTATGCGATTGCTTTTTACGCTATTATTACCTTTTAACTCCATTGTGTTGTATTTTCTAATCGAATGTTACATACATATTAGTCCTTTCGGAACTAAATATTTTTTTAGTCTGTGAAAAAAAATTTTTTTTTAATTTAATCATTAACAATAGAAATATATCGAAGAATTATAAAAAAGATTATAATTCAATCAATTTTATTGAAAGTAAACACGCTTATCGTTGAATTAATTGATAACTTACTAAAATACCAAATTTCAAATGTGAAGTATGATTTCCCTGTTTCTCTATTTCATTCATGTAATTTATTTTTCAATTTGTCACATCTCGAAAGATAAATGAGATTAAAGACAAGTTTTGAATAGAAAGGAAGGTTAAAATTTTGCAAAGGAAAAAAAAAAGAAAGGAAAAGCTGCATTTATTGTAATTCTCTTATTTTGCATCAAAAATTTTCATTGGGTATTTATTAATTATAGTAATTTTCTTTTATCTCTATAAAATCTGTTACTTGGTAATAAAATGAACATATATACGTGCTAAAGATATCTTAGAAATGGACAAAATCTTATAAAAGGATAAATGTTATAAATGGAAGAAAGAAAAGAGCCATAATTTGATTAAAAGAGAAAAAGAAATTTCTCACAATATAATTCAACGAATTAAGTTAAATTGATTTACTGTTGCATTTACTTTTCAGCTTGATTATTAAACGTCAGTTTATTTATTTATTTATTTATTTTTTTTTTTTACATTCTAATCACAGCAACTATCTCGTTCAATTGAATCTGCTTTTGACCAGATGGCGCCATTCATTTCCTAAAATATGTATTATCTACATAGGCATAGAAATGTATATATACATATATACATATAGAGATCGAATCGGTATCGATATATACATATTCAAATTGTACTTATCTATTTGGTATAATTTTTGATACTTCTTGATATTCGATATTAATCTCTCTAAGATTCATTTCAATTTTAAAAAAACTATATAAAAGAAAGCTTGTTTTGCTTTCTCATTCTATTTTCTTATTACATTACAAACTCTTTTTCATTTTATTATTCTGTAAATGTTTACAAATTTGTATGAAATACAATTTTTTGAAAAAGAAATTCTGTTTTTATATATATAAGAAATTACACGTGTAAAATTTGTGTTGGTAAATGTGATATTACGAAAATGGACCTTAAATCAAAAAATATTCATTTCATACCTCATGAAGATATTAATAATCGTTTAATTTCTTTATATTTCTGATTGAGATTTATGGGAGAAGCTGAACTAATATTAAAAAATAAGTGTTAATTCTTCTGAATTCATCGTCGATTGAGATAAAATTTGAAGAATATTATGAGAAGCGTAAAAGGACCTCAAATGTAAAATTCGAGAATTTATCTTGTTTGGAAAATATAGACCTTACGATTTTATAGAAAGCGATACGAAAAATTAGATAAAGATAATGTAGTTTCTAAATCCAATACTGATATATATGTATATGTATAATATATGTCTTTAAGACATAAACATATGTACATCTCTGCATTAAATTCTTTATTTAGCTTTTCTCTAGCTGTTAGTTCATCATCTTTGTTTTTGGTAGATTTTGTAAAATTGTAAGATTTATATCTCCTGAATTAAATAAATTCCTAAAATTAAAATTTTATATGTAAAATTTTCTTACAATTAAATTCCTCGTAATACCCACCAAATTTCATTTCGTAAACATAGATTTAAATATAAAATATATCATTAGTAATTTTATTAAAAAAGCAGCTGGCCATTATTTAATGAATATGATAAATAATCATTATTTTCCCTAGTCAGTATTTTGATAAACTGTAACCAATAAAAATTTATTTAAAAATATTAATTCCAGTTTTTAAAACAAAAAGTATCTCTTACACAATGAAATCGACACTTCAAGTTTCAAAAATTTTAGAAATCTAACAATCGAGTTTCGAGAATTTAAAAATTAATTTCAAAATCATCTTTAGAACCAATCTATTGATATATTGTTGATCTAATCTTGATCTAATTTAATCTAATTTTCGAAATAACAAAAATTACAGAACTTGAAGTCAAGAATATTTTACGATATGAAAAAAAAAAAAAAAAATGAAAAAATGAGTAGAACGGTGATTTACATTTAGCCATTTTTTATATTTCAAATGTACACATTTTTATATCTTTTATACTTCAAATTAAAATATCTTAAAAACTAATCAATTTTCGTCCTAAGTATCTCAGTACTTTCTTGGAAAATGGAAAAACATATGGAGTATATTTTATACATATTAGTGTATAAAATGGGAATTATTTTAGTTACTACAACAAATAGAAAGGCGCATAATTTAATCGAAAGTTTATATTTTATAGTATGGCGATGATTTGAATTGCCGTAAATTCGTAGTTATTAAGATATTAATAAAAATATATATATACATATGTATGAAGATAGATACATATACAATAATATGATGTATGATTGCTTATACAGGGTGGTCACTAAAAGATATAACTTTTGACTGAATGATATAAAATAAAAATAACTTTTACAAACACATGTTTCTTTAATTTTTTATTATTTTATTCGGAAATATAATAAATATAATAATAATATATTATATTATAATTAATTAATTTATAACCTATAAAAAAGGAAATAAAAAAGATTGAAAACGAACATGTTATGATTTTTTCAAATCCTTCAGTTTTTCAGTGGCCGCTCTGTGTGTAGTTTATAGCAGCTACCGATCTTCGCATGAGTTTTTATTACAAAGAAAACACCGCAGGCATTTAACTGATAAATAAACTCAATAACTAAAGTAAAGTTGAAATACGTTATATCAGATTATTTCATGCAGATCGCAGTAAACAAAAATACATTACAATTATTTTTTAACGGTCTTCTTGACCGGGCGTTCGTTGTGTTTTGAGTTGCGAATTGTGTTCGATTATTTATGTATTTATATTCGTATAACTTTCAAGGTTAGCTAAAATTTACATAGTGTTTTTTTTTAATTCCTAAACTTTTAAACGATACAATTTTGATATCTAATATACATACGTAAGCATTTTTTAAAGATCTTTCACAAAATTTAAGTTTTAATAATTTTGCACTATTTGTACACTGATTAAAAAATGCTTACAAGATTTGTGCTAGCAATTATAAAACTATCATTTAAATAACTATCACCCGTATTCTGATATTTTGTAATGGTTATTTAAAACATTAAACGGTTGTAATACGGAATGATCCACTCATCAGAACGAAACGAAATTTTGTAAAATATGAAGAGTAGAGTAGAATAGAGTAGAGAAAGAGAGAGAGAGAGAAAGAGAAGGGGGGGGGGGGGAGAAGATTCTAAATATAAAATTTTAACGACGAATTTTTATTAATTTCTGAAATATTAATAAGAAATTTTGTGTATAATACACTGAATTCTACTTTAACAGGCATGATTATTGCAATGGTTGATTATCCGTTTAACGATTTATTAACGGTTCAGTTATCGTTGGTGATCGAGGAAATTATTTACACAATAGCGATATTGGTAATTAGTAGAATAGGATTCGACTTAAAATCCATCACTTTTCATAAACGGAATGTCGCCTATATTAATGTTAATAAGGTTTCATTACATGAGGTATCAACTTAACAAGACTGGATTGTGTTACTTTAAATCGATTACTGTAAGGGAGCTGATCATTCGTTACTTGTAAAATCCGTTACTGCTGAAGCATACTGCCTTATAAATACTGGAAACAGTATTACTAGTCGGTTAGTCAACAGTTGACGATGACAATGATCGTCTCACGCTACCTAAATAGTGAAGATAGTTTGGATCAATAACGTCTATCTATAGGTAATATACCCAAAATTATTTATTTGTATCTCCTGTAATCAATGTTGTTCAAAGATTTTTTTCTTAATATATCAGGAACCAATAAAGCCCCGCAGCTAAAATTTTATATTCAAGATTCTCTTCCTCCTCATTTTCTCAAAATTTTGTTTTGTTCGTATAGTTGTTTCTGACAAATTTTTGCATACTGATTAGGGATTTGAAACCGTTTTCCTCCATTACTCTACTTTCAAAAAATTCAATTTTCAAAAAAGAGAAACAGATTTTCGATTTTGAATCTTCTTGGACGCTAAAAGATATGTAATTTTCGTTTACGGGAAATAATTCTACAGACTTTTCAAATGCCATGATATATCTATTTATACGTAATTAATATTTTATAGATATTGAAATATATTTAAACCAAAGCGTGCGAGTCTCATTTTTTTTTTTTAGATATATTTTAGTTTATTCAAAAAACTAAGGATATGATTACAGTTCGTGGCATTTTTTTCAGAAATTATCAATTAAGGATGAAAAAATAGTTTAATTTCAAAGAAATTTAATTTAGCAAAACATACGAACGCAAAATTTTATAAATACAGGAAATGTATATATAATATATTGTACAGTATAATAGTGTAATATATATAGTATATACGTAATATACGTATATACTATAGTATAATAGTTTTATATCTATCAATGCAATGTTTCTTGTCTATAGTTTAATTAGAATTATAATTTATAAATAACATTAATAACACTAATTTTTAATATTAAAATCAACTTAAATACACTCATACAACTTATGCATGAAACGAATATCAAAGTATTATATATTGAGAATCGCTGGCAGCGTCGCGCATTTCGCTAAACGATTTTGCTGCTTGTTCTAAAATTTAACTATTTAATGCTTTCCGGGAAGAAATGTACGTTTTATTTCATGATACAATTCGATTCATACTATACTTTTCACTTTTAAAACGGATTGAAAAATATGCAGAAAAATTAGCACAAAATTGAATTACCGATCTTTTTAAATATTTAAATGTTTATAATATTATATATGTATATAAATATGTATATACATACATGTTATTGTATTTGGGAAAGTCACGTACAATTATTTTTCGTAAACAGAAATTGTATATAATTTACCGTTTAAACACAGAACAAGTTCAAAATTGAAAATATATTTCTTTCCTTTTAATTTATTTTTTTCGAAAACTAAGGATAAAAAATTAAAAATCAAATAAACGAACTACAAGTTCATAATTAACGTGCAAAAAGTTATTACTTGAAAACATTATATTGTATACTTACACTTACTATATATTTTGCATACATTTTGCGTACATACTTCATATATTTTAACCTATTACATCTATATGAAAATCCACATTGTAATAACAGTAATTTTTAGAATGCTAAAACCTTCAGTAACTATCTATTTAATTAAAATCGAGATACAATCATAAGATAGAAAGTTAACGAAAATATTACGTTTGATTCTCAAGTTCGCTATTGGACAATGGATACGCGCCAACGGACCAATCAACGAGCAGCTTTAAAACCGGCTTAAATAATAACCGGCAATTTCGTTTGACTGTCTTTTCGCATTTAATCTGCGATGGAGTAAATGTGTATAAGGTGCAGTTAACGTTGGAATCAAGATCGCAAATGACTTAATATTATAGACGTATAATATTATTGGCATTTATAAAATGTCAAAGAATTTTGTGTGAATTATTCCGATTTTAAAATTACGTTTCAAGATGGGTAAAACGCCAGACAAGAGATGATTCTACATGTAAAAGTAAGTCGCACAAATGTTTTTTATTTTGCTTGTTTACCTCCACATGTTTTTCTTAACGATATTTTTCTTCGTGTACTTATACTTATTTATTCGTAATAGTAAAGGACAATGATGGGTGGAATGTCCCCGCGTTTGTCGCTCTTGGAAATAATTGTCTTCGATCATATAATATTGATATTATTTTTGATGATATTTTTTAAATTTTCATTTTTTAAAAAATTTCTTTAAGATTTTGTATCTATTATTATTTTTTATTTAAAATTAGATTAGTTTCTTCTGAAGTGTTAGGTATTTTCATATTATAAAATAAATATGTATGATAAATATATAATACATATATATATAAAACATATAAATTTTATTTAAATAAAAATTATTGTCTCCTGCAGTAATTTTAGAAATATTATTCTTTAGTTTCTGGTTTTAATTTTCATTCCTTTTTTTTTTAATTATACAGCAGTCAGCACAGTTTTTGCGTTGCACAATTTTTGATTCAGGCGTCAAATTTATTTTATACAAAATTTATTTTATACAATTATATTGCTATAATTGAATAAAAATAATGGTCTCGAAGAACACGTGAGGAAAATATGTATATCGCATGTACACGTTTTTTCTTATTTAATTTAACATGTTCTTATAAAATAATCAAGTGTCTGTCAATATCATTTCTTTTTTTTAAATTTATTTGATCGACTATAACTTTTTAGAAAAATTAAGAATTTATATTTATATACATAATTTTGAATATATTTAGTGATTTTATTTTGTATTTATATAATTTTAAATATATATCGTCGGTTTAAAAGACTTATTTCTGGGCAAGATATTTTTAATTATTTTTTAGGGAAAATTTCACCGTTGCCCCAAGATTTTAATACATTTTATATCATTTTATTCATTTTGAGTGATTACAAAATCATACGTCTTTCTTTTTCCTTTTTTTTTTTTTTTTGAAACAGAAATTGAAAATCCTTCCGAAATATTCCACATTGTCGAAATATTCACAAATATCTTTGTGTACGGAAATTGTTACATTCTCGAATTGCGACGTTCTATATGGCAAATTTTAAACACAAAGAGATAAACATTGCTGACTGGCAAGGATATTTCTGCTAATACCAATAACTTCCATGTTTCTCTGCATTCCCAGAATCGTTATAGGACATGTAAACAAAAGGCTTCGGGAAGAAAGATGATACGTAAAGTAGATTCATTTCTATAGTGACGTTCGAAATGAGCGTTACAAGTGAGCTTTGTAATCGTAAAATTTTGATGTAGTTTCCACGTGTGTTCTTATATTACTTTTATTAATATTCACATCCATTTGAAGATCTCATAAAGTGCATCTAGTTGGCTTTTTCATTTTAATCATCTTTCGCATTTTCGGTAAGTTTTTGTAATTTCCGCTAAAAACAAATATGACATTCGTATTTAACACTTTAAAATGAATATTATTGTATGTACTAAAGACTTGGGAGAAACAATGGTGAAATTCAACTCTTTTATTTAACTTATCGTATCGATTATAATCTTTTAGGAAATCTTTTATAGGATCTTCGTCTTTAAAAGTTTATGATAAATATATAAATATATTTCCATAAAACTCAACTTTTTGGCAATATTAGTTTTTTTGCACAATATTTAATTTACATGATACTTATTTAATCTATCTGATTTTTTTAGGGGATTTTTAAGGCATCTTTGTTGCTAGAAATTTATGATAAATAAATTTTGATCAAGAAATAAATAGTGATCAAGAAGATTTATTCCTAGGTAAGACATATTTTTTGTAATATTTATTGTTTTTTGGAAAATTCAATTTATCTAATTGGCTATCATTTTTTTAGGAAGCCTTTTCAAGAGCCTTTTCAAAATTTATTCATGGGTAAAACAAGTCTTGATAAATTTGTTTCTAGTCTGTTATGGTAAGTCCATTTTTTCTTTCTTGTTGCTTTTAATTGCATTTTAAATGCATTCTTTTATCTATGAAAAATGATAAATCCCATTTATTTGTTGCCATTTCTAAAAATTATAAAAGCAGGAACAAATTTCTTTTTTTTTTTGTTTCATATATAATTATATCATGATGCTGACTAATTAAATTCTGTTATAAATAATTAGAATTACACAAAAACTACAATCTAGAATGGTAACAGTTATAATCTGGGAAGGCAGAATGTTTTGTTAGCTAAATAGTGTTGCGAACAATTATAAATCCTTCATTTATAATTAGAAACTATGATATTTGATGTTATGTAAGAAGTAATTCAAATTGAACCTAAATATGAAGAATAAGGGAAAGAAACAAGGAATGTCACAAAATAGTTTTATTAACAAAATTAAATATCAATATTATTCACTAAACAATTATAAACACAATTATAGATAAAAAAAATAATATTAAGTAAAAGTAATAAAAACTCTTAAGTGAAATGCTTGTTTGTAAATGGAGATAATACAAAGTACAATTTGTACTTTAAATCTGTATTTTGAACATTATAATCATTATAATTCTAATTGTATAGTTTTAGTTGTCTCAGATAAAATTGTTTTAAAATGTTTTAAAATAAATGAATAAATACTACATTTATTAATTTAATTAATTCAATTAATAAATTGAATTTCTGTTTTTATTGCTTTGTGCATTTTTACTATTATACGTTTGAGGTTTACTTGTCTTGTTTTCATTTAATTTGAATATACAGTTAGGATTAAATTAGGTTTGAGTTACTTACAATTTGCAATGCTTTTTAATGATATATTTTGCCTTCTTAGGTAGCCTTTTTAAATATATTAAATGGAAAAAATTTAAAATATTAACTAAATTGTGAGTTATTATCAAAATTTTTTATTTTTGGATATTATGTTATATATATATATTTTTATATATTATATATTGTATATTATTTTTATTGCTGGAGCGCGTAGCGCAATATAGCTTTATAATAATTAAAGAGGAGATAATCACTTTGGAATTTACTTAGGAATAATAATAAGTCTTGATAAATTTGTTCCTATTCTGTTGTGGTAAGTCCATTTTTTCTCTCTTAGTTGCTTTTAATTGCATTTTAAGTGCATTTTAAGTGCATTCTTTTATCTATGAGAAATGATAAATCCCATTTATTTGTTGCCATTTCTATTTCTATTTATTAAATTATAAAAGCAGGAACAAATTTTTTTTTTGTGTCATATACAATTATATCATGATGCTAATTAAATTCTGTTGTAAATAATTAGAGTTACACAAAAACTACAATCTAGAATGGTTATAATCTGGAAAGGCAGAATGTTTTTTTTAGCTAAATAGTGTTGCGAACAATTATAAATCCTTCATTTATAATTAGAATCTGTGATATTTGATGTTCTATAACAAATAATTCAAATTGAATCTAAATATGAAGAATAAGGGAAAGAAACAAGGAATGTTACAAAATATTTTTATTAACAAAATTGAATATCAATATTATTCACTAAACAATTATAAACACAATTATAGACAAAAAAAGAAAATAATATTAATTAATATAAATAATAATACTATTATACATACAGTCGAGGACAAAATTAAGTGGATGCATAATTGTGATAGATATTAATGAAGTTTAAACTATTTTATAGTAATACCATATATTTAAATTGACAATGAGAATCATAGTGATGTAAGTCCAAATGTTTATAATTTGAATTAATAATGTTTTTCAAGTGCTGAAGGCTTTATAATATCATGGCCAATTATTGTTATTATTTCATTTATTACTAAAAAACGGCAGTGTTTTATTTTAGCATTTAAGAAGCCACAATAATAAATACGAAATATAATTTTGCGAAAAACATCATAAGAATGACTTATATTTTTGTGATTTTCAGTTCTATGATTCTTAAATTATTTAGTGAATAGTTTAGATCAGGCATTTTTAGTTCGAAACTAATTTTTAATTTTTTCAAAATTCGAATCCGCAACTTTGTAAAGTTATGAAATTCTTAAAACTTTCGAAACTTAGTGTTGATTTTATTTTGTGAGAGGGATTTGTTGTTTTAAAAATAATCCAATTTTAAACATTGGAATTAATACTTTTATACAAATTTTTTATTAGCGGCAATTAAACAAAATTCAAACAAAATATCTAATCGATATATAGTGTTTAAAAACACTAACTCTCTGGATTTAATTTATCTTTTTTTTCAATTGATAAATAGTTTTTCAGAGTGGATGCTATAATAAGATATTTTTTTTTTAAATAATTTTTTTAAAAATTTGGGTATTTTACATTATCATTTCAAAATATTCTATCTCTTGATCTCAAATTTTTCGCTCTCTGTGATTGTTATAAATTGCGAGGTTTTATTTCAGAATCTTAAGATCGACAAATTCTTCTCGTTTTCATTAGAAGAAAGTCACTAAAATTTGTGTTCTGATAATCTGCAGTAATTTCTTTACACACAAGTTTCTTTACACAATATTATTTAGCTGTTTTCAATTCGGTTATGAATTATTCAACTTTTTGAAACTATTAACAATCAGAAATTGTCTGATTTTCTATTTGTAATCTTATATTTGAACAGTTTGAATGTATGTATGGAGATTTGATATCTTCGAATTTTTGCAATATACGTATGTGGCTTAGCTTTTATTTTAGTTCTGGACGTGGATTACTTGGTCATTTGGTTATTTTATATTCAATATAACGGATATGAAAAAATAAAAAATTATTTTTGTTTTATCTAAATCAAATATGAAAGAAGCATTTTTTTGAATAAGAAAAGTTACAAATGCAACTCAGTGAATTGGTTTTACAAGTAACATGTTATACTATAAAAAATTAGACAAATTTAAGAAAATGAACTTGAAATTTCGAACGAGTTGCAAAAAATAATTTACAGCACATAATGTTTTTTTATTTCAAACAATATTTATAAAAACATTTTGATGATAAGTTCAATCTTTTATAAAATCGAGTTTGATGGGATGAAAATAATTTATTCAGGCTGTAAATTTGCACATTTGTAAATAAAAAAATCATATTTAATTATATTATTCATAAAAATATTATATTTTGATTAATTTTTTCTAATACTTTTAAATAAATGTAAAAATGAAATAAGAATGAGTATTGGGGAAAAAAGTTAAAAAGGATAGAATAATGCTAGTTTTATAGTGCAAACGCAAGCGGAAACCATAAGTTACCATTACTTTTAATTAATAATTACGAAAACATTGAAACACTATAAAAGTAATTTATCCGAGATATACAATCACAGTAAAAATGTTTGCATGAATACTACAATTTTTCAATTGTGGCGCCACAATGAATTTATACCCCGTGTTAGAAGGAGACAACTAGATGAGAATTCTAATAATAAAATTTTCCTGCTAATAAACATTTTTAATGGCCATAAACTACCAAAAAAAAGAAATGGACGACGGTCATTTCAAAATCATATTTTTACCGCTCAATATCAGTTCCCTAATCCAACCAATGGATCAGAACTTAATTTCAAACTTTAAAAAAAGATTCCGGCATAAATTGTTACAACGCGTTTTACAATTTGAAAATATCAGAATTCTATACTGATTACGACGTAAAAGATTGTATAGATTTAGTAAATGAAATATGGACTAATATAACCTCTGTGCATATATTTAATTCCTGGAATAAAATCTTTAATTAAAAATCAGGAATAGCTGAAACAAAACTTAACGCATTTTATCACTGTCTTGTTAGAAACTGCTCTATGTAAAGCAATTTCTGATGAAGAAGTGATAGAGTGGATCAATAAATGCGGAGAAGCAGAAAGAATCATCGAAGAGACAGATACTACAGAAGTATCTTCTCCTTCGCAGCTTTCTGCGAATCCAATAGAGGCAGAAGAAATTGAGAGATTGTTACATTATTCACAAAAAATTATTATAACAGAACCAGAAATTCCAAATCGTGCAAAATCTATAATAGATTATTACAATTGAAAATAATTTTTATTTATTTTTTTTCTGTAATATTTCTACCATTATTTATTCTTATTATTTACTGTAATTTAGTAGAATTGTTAATGTATGTATTAAGAAAATATTCAACTACTTGTAACATATGAGAATTAAGCAATCGCGTTTGTTATTTAAAGTAAAATTTGCCGAACTTTGATCCGAAATAATCATAATGTGTTGAAATATCAATGTCGCTTGTACGTCACGATAAGCGTAGAATGAAAATAGTCCCAATTCCAAGAATTAGGGATAAGCGACGGACGCTTATAAAGTCAAAAGTATAGTCGTTTATGAGAGCATTATTGTATTGCGCAATTAGACCGGTAGATAAGTAGAAAGATTTTCTGCAGTGTCCACTTTATATGAGGCCGACTCTCTTTGTATCTCTCCCAGTTATGTGATTGGGGAAACAGATTATTTTCGGCCAAAATGTGGGTAAGATCAGTTCCATAATATAATTTTCGCAATTACTTTATGGGTTTAACACGTTAGCCGCTATGTCAGTCACCGATGACTGACACTATACTTTCCGTTCAGGCCGTTTTAGTCACTGTTGGCTGACGATATACAATTTAAAAAATTATATTCTTCTAATAAGTATTGAATAATTTAAAATTAGAGAATATTTTTGTAATAAAAAAAATATAAAAAATTATATTATTCTTAATAAATTTTAAATAATTTGAAGTTCACAAAAGAATGTACCTAAATATTACTTGTTACCACCTGCTTTTTCTACTGACATAGTAGTGTCATTGTTACGGGTAAAGAAAAATTTTTTAAACTGCACAGAAACATGATGCCCAAAAACAGAGATGCCTTTAATCGCTTCAGTATGTCACCAATTACTTATTAGTGACTTGTAACTTCTGACTTTATTCTACGTTAGTCATTTTTCAGAATCGTATTTTAATAAGTTGTTCCCTGCACATTTGAAGAGAT